TCACACATAGCTCTCCATAATGGATTTTGCTCCAATTACCCTTTACATGGAAACTTAAAGCGTCTTTTCAAGAAAAGAAAAGACAGTTAATCGAAGCAGACACGGTACAGGCAGACGAGGAGAGAAAGGTTGGTCATCTTTTTAAATTACATTAAATGTCGTGGAGTGATAAAAATCTGTTTAGATTAATGAAGGAATGGACCCCAATAGAGGCTAAATGAAAGATCTCTGCCTTCCTTCAAATCACGTTCCAGCAAAGATGTTCGTCTCTTACCGAAACCGCCACAGAGGAGGAAAGGGGCAGATCAGCCCTGGGTTCAAAGGTGCTCATATTGGGTGTTATTATTAGGCAAATAATGAACAAATATTGCCATCTCCCGTTTCTCTATTAAACAGAATGTCCAGGCATGGATACGGTTACCGCTGGTTACAGTATTGACAGCTTGAAGCAAATTGGCTTTTCTTTCAGACTTTCGGGCAGATGGGCTGACAGGGCACCGGCGCGAGCGTGACTTCGGTAACAAGCCGCGTGGCTGTCTGCGCGCTGCTCGCGCGCGCGAGGGGCCGAGACACCGCGCGCGCGACAGAACCACGTGGAATCGCTGGGAATGTCACATGACGCAGCGCAAGCCACCGCTCTGCTGCTAATGATGTACCTTGTCGGGGGCCCCATTGACCAACAAGTATCTCAGCCTCCAGTAAAATCCAGCTTTGAACAGAAGCATCTGACTGGCAAGGTAATAGTACTAATTACAGGTAAAATTCAAAGCTTATCAACATCATCTCCAAAAAGACACATGCGACTCTCCAGGGTTACTTATCTAATTACATATTTACATTCCATGTACTTAATCTGTATCCAGTGTGTACTGATGTACTGAGTATGGTATTAACAGAGAGGAGGTCCAGCCTTTTATAAGACCCATAATGTTAGTCTATAAGACTCACAAATCTGATCAACAGACTAAACAAGGCATTCAGACTGTCAAGCCCTAAATACACCAGGGTTGAAATACCGTAATACCATACCATAGATTCCTAAATGATAATAGGAAAAGAATCACGAATAACTACATACTGCAGCCACATAAGTGTTTGTTGTCTGAAAGGTTTTCCAGGTTAAACACACTTCAGATTTATAAGCAATAACAGCTCATTAAGCAAATCCACATCCTCATATTCATGTTTTGCTGAAAACATACCCAAAACCCTCCTTGAAGGTGATGCCCTGACTTAGTTTTCATGCCGCATGGTTCCTGAAAATCAGCTATGTCTGATCGCCGCCTGATCATCTTCAAAATGAAAGCGAAACACTTCCAATAGAAAATGGAATCACTGTGTAAATCGCAGGTCTCAGACTTATCGAGGAACATCGCCACCTTTCATTTAAAACTTGATCAGCACCTTTTTCCAGATGACAGCCAAGCTCGTCTTCCCCCTTCATGTCAAAGTGCTACCCGTCAGTGTTAATTTCAGTCTCTCCTTGTCTCCCCTTCTTTGCAATTATTCATAGATCTTCGCTGGATTCACTCGGCGTGCTAAAATATCCCCGCTTCCCTAAGATTGCACAGGGCCACACGGAAGACGAGAGGTTTCACAGAGACGTAGCGGGCGGAGGAGTCAGGGGCGAGAGGAACTGGGGGGTTAAAAAAGCTTCGGTTTCAGAATCCAGTTCACTTCTGATGAATAAATGAATCCCATTACTCTGGATGAGGGGCAGGAGGGTTCAGCAGCGGGAAGCCAGGCCTGTCAAAAATGAATGCACGTCAACTCAAGGAGGGCTGGTAAGAGTGAGCTTAATGGGCAGAGGCAGGGGCTGCTGTGCATGGCGGACCTGCTGCAGGTGGCCTGTGCTGCGAGTGGCCTGTGCTGCAGGTGGCCTGTGCTGTGGAGATGCCCTAATGGACGAGGGAACAGAGGGGCCTCTCAGACCGAATCGGGAAAAGCATGCAACAAAACCTCAACAATATTTACCATAGTGGCAGACTGTTGGCACCGTTTTTAATTTTCTTTCTAAGTTTAATTAGTTTTTTTCTTTCTTTAGATATTGACATTTTATTTATATAGCAGAAGCTGTTATTCAAGGTGACAGATTTTTCTTTTTTTGTGAAAACAGGGTCAATTGGAGCAATTGGGCTTTAGGGCCTTGTTCAGAGGGACCAATGGTGAAATCACTCTGCCGACCGGGGATTTGAATCGATAACCTTCAGAAAGCAGGCGGAGCCTGAGTCAATGCACTGAGTCATATATGATTATGGGAGTATGTGTTGAATTTATTGCTGCCTAAACTATCATTCATTGTATTTATCTCTTCTGCAATACTGGGCACAGAAATTTACCCTCATAGGGATTGCCGAATTTCTGTCTTACCAAAAGTGTCACCGGATGTGCATGGGTTCGAAGGCCGTGCTTTAATTACACTGTATGTAGTTCTGCTCTTCACTAATAGTGGCACATGCATGTTGCACTATTAAACATCTGATATTTTTGAAATAGTTTCTCTATGGAAAATATCTGGCAAGGACACTAGAACATTTTGTATTTTTAAAAACAGACTGGGAAATGTGTTGAACCAATAAATTTTAGACAAACAGGGTCTCTCCAAAAACACCAGCAAAATTCATGAGATGACTAGTGGCTGCTTTGAGTGGAAACCTTGCTTAATGTTTACATGAGTAAGAAAACACTGAGCCAATGCACGCTAGCCTGTCAGTCTGAAACTGCCCTTCTGTTTATGAAAGGTCACTGGCATGAGATGCAAAGACCAGAGGGTCTGCAAAAACAACTGCGTATTTAGAAGTACAATATACCAATACTTATATCATGCAGCATTGCAGGGATGAAACAAGCATGGCTTTACACACCAGAAGATGATCATCCATCATCCATCCACTTTCTGAAACCCCTCATCCTCTTCAGGGTCACAGGGGGTCTGAAGCCTATGGGCACAAGGCAGGGAACAGCCCAGGATGGGGCACCAACCCATCACAGGGCGCGATCTCACACACACTGGCATCTATGGCGCAATTTGGTAACTCCAGTTAACCTCAGCATGTATTTGGTTTGTGGGGGGAAACCAGAGCACCAGGAGGAAAACCCACCATGACGCGGGGAGAACATGCAACTCCACACACATGGAGTTGTGGCGGAGACTAGAATCCTGGTCTCAGAGGTGTGAGGGAACAGCGTGTTGAACAGAGACAAAGCTGTATATATAAAAAGGCATGGACCAATACACCTGTACCTATTAAAAGATAAATATAAAAAATGTAACATTTAGCAGATGAGTTACAATTAAATTATACTAGTCGTGGCTCGGAGAGTGGCATTCCAGTATAAATCCTGTTCCGTGCACTGTGCTTCATGGAATAGGCTCCAGAGTTTCCACAATCCTGGATAAGAGGTGCAGATGGATGGATGGATGGATGGATGGATAGATGAGGTTAGTGTATTGCACATTTAAACAACGCTAAATGCTTTGTTGCAATTTTAAGGTAAAAAGGAGACTTCAGATGTATTGGTGCACTGACAGTGCATGGAGTTTAATACTAAAAGGTAAAATTTAATCATAAATGAATATTTCTGTTTTCACTATACTTTGTTGGGGGGGGGAGAGGGGCACTCAACATAATTAAAACATCTATTAAGAAGATAATAATTAACCTGGAATATACATAATACTGTCAAAATGATCAGCATAAAACATTTATCCTCCAGTAATGCACAGCTGATTACAGAAGTAAAAATGCATAACTTTCACTACAAATAATACATCGGGTTACTAATGAAGCCTATTCCCACACAATTTCGAGATACAAGTGAAATAAAGTCAGGAAGCGACGATGACGGCTGGACTGCATTGCCGTAAGTGAATGACTCCCTGAAAGGGCCGTGCGGCGTGGCGACAGTAACACTGACTTGTGGCGGACGCGCCTTCACAGCTTCTCTCTTTTCATGGCGGTGTCAATGACGGGGAAATGGCCCAATTCGGGGACCAGCCGGGATTAAAAGGACACACGCACAGAGAGTGTAAATCAAGCCGGAGGGGAAATGTGTAGTTTCAGTTACAAATAAGGTATATGATTTCAAAAGTTAGGTCTGTGAAACGATTATATTTTTTCAATATATTTAGACTTGACCAAGATGCTAGACTGACCTAAACCCTTCAAGAGATACGTGCTTGATATGCTTATAAATCAAGAACACATATATTCTATATTTATTCAGATACGAACGTTAAGCCAAATATCAAACAATATATCATGACACTGCGGTTGTAAACAAATCCATTGTAAATGGGAGACGGACACGGATTGAGCTTCGCTGTCCTTAGGCGAGGTTTTGGATATGCTGTTCATGCAGTGCCACCTATCGGTCAGACAGCGGGCTTACATTCAGCAGAAATACCTTCCTCGCTGCAACCGATTAAAAAAGTATTTATACGTAAAAGCCTACCCAATACCTTTTTATCGCAAACGCATTTTCATAAAACTGGCGTAACTTCAAGCAGGACGAAGTAAATCGTTCAACTGAGATTTTGTGAGCTCGTATATAGTGCACGGACACATTAATTAGGCCTACATATGTGCATTACATGTGTAAACCCATGTAAGTTTACATGACCACTGCAACATTTCACTGCATTTGCAGTACACTAGCAATTTACAGTCTATATGGAGTTCTAACCAAATCTGATTTCCATCAACTGTTTCGTGTATGTAAACAAAGCATTTAAAATACTTCAGGTCTTTGCATTTTGTGACTGTTCTAGATAAGCATGCCTGTAAATTAAAGCATATGACATACATAACGTTGGAGACCTGCACTGGGGAACAGTGTAGTTTTCTGCGACTTCCATTCCTCCGGCCGCTTTTATTTCTCTCGCACAATAATCTTTTGGCAATTAACGTTGCGGCATCTCCACCACCTTTACTTTTAACAACGAAATACCGACAAATCTCTTCAGTGAGGACGAGTCAGTGAAACGACTACAGCACAACTTGACTGAAACAGATATAGAATTTATTTTCAACCATAAGTAGGAAAAATACATAGGTGTAAAGGAAACAAGCAGACCCTGTTAAAAACAAACTAATCGAAAAGGTAACCAAGACATAAGGACAACAGTAAAATTGAAAAATCCTTGTTTACCATTAGGCATTTTTAATAGTTCCTAGTAATGATTTAAAAACAGCTGCCTATGTCTATATTAACATTCGTAAAACATTGTGCAAGTGTTTTGCTGGTATTTAATGAATGGTAAACAAGAGTTGGTCCAGTGCATTCACATATGACAGTCAATATATTTATATATATATATATTTATATATATTTATACACACGCATACGGGCAGCTACAGTCCTGTTTGCTGCACAACTACTACATGAAAGTTATAACCAAGCGGATGAGGAAATGGGACAGAAGATGAGTTCAGCGGAAACTGCTGTAAGATAGTAGGGTCTAAAAAACGTCGTTTTCAACTTTAGCTTCTTCCAAAATTGACATCATATTACCAGACCGCAATGACCCTTAAAGATTACAATAACCCAATACCAACAAGGAGATCCGCATTGTTTTCCCCCACTGACATTAAAACGGCAGAATATTTTTCCCGCTATTACTTTTAAGCAGCAGCTAGAAACCTGAACACGCACGTAACACGGATGCAACTGGCCAATGAGCGACGAGCAAAAGTAGGATGGGGGCGGGGCTACCCAAACAAAATAGTCGAGCCTTAAAACAGCCTCACTGATGATCAGAGTGCAAATACAGACTAGGAAAGTACCACAAATATAAAACATCGAGTTCAGAGGGGAAGGTAGTCTTATGTGTACGTGCAAGCGGTTGATCGTAACTAGAATGTCCACCATGACTGACTTGCCCTTTGCACCTACAGCCATAGCTGGAGACCTACAAGATTGGATTTGTTTGGGGGTGGGGCGAAAGCATGGACCGACACACCTCAGAAGTGACAGGAGACCCAAATTCCAATGCAGCCATTACAAGCTGTGCTTTCAAAAAAAAAAAACGTCACATCACTTTACAAGGGATCCATTCACTAAAGCGTTTACCAAAACAGTGAAAGCGGCTCTGTGCCTATGCTACATGGGGGAGGGCGGGGGCAGTACAGTCTAATGCCTTCAGATTGACAAGCGGAGATGACATTTCCTATGTGGTGGCAATCACTCATGTGTCCGACTGCATTTTCAATGGTAACATGGAAACAAGGACTCCGATTCTCAGATAAGAAACCATAAACCCATAATTCATTGCATTTATGAAACTTTTATAAAAGAATTTGGTCTGTGCATCATGGAAAACGATGGGTTAAAGAAAAGATGAAATCATTCAACCACAGGATAATCATGATATACACACTGAACAACAAGATTCATTTCAAAGAAAGAAAATGAGATACAACGTTTATTCACACTTTACAAAAACAAAAAAAAAGGCTGTTTTAATCAACTACAATAGTCAGCAATTCAATATAATCAACTGGACACTTTGTTCAACAGAAACAAGTGAAAAGGAAATTTTAAATAGATAAGAGCAGGCTCTGGGTAAAGAGGACATCTCAGACCTATCACTTCACTGTATCTCTTCCTTTGGAAAGTTAAAATCTATTAAATTAAAATTGGTTTGTACAACAGCACATATTTAAAAGCTGTAATAGTCGATTTTAGGTAGTAGCTGCACTCGTTACCAGCTTTAAGTGCTTGTCAATCAATTTCCAATTAAAAACCTTGGGAATTATTTCCCCTTTTTCCAACGACATGGCCAATTGTACCAGAACTCAGTGGTATTGGAAATCGACAAGCTAGGCTGTGCTCTTTTCTTAAAGCCCACAAAAAAAAAAACAAACAACAAAAAGCTAAGTTACAGTAACAGATTAGCTTACATCTTGGCTTCATAACAGTATGCAACAGATGGCACTGTAGGCAGGAAGAGAAAATAAAATATATACCCATGGTCTAGCGCTTGGGAAAGACCTAAAACAAAGATGAGAGAACTGCCTGAGTTAAGGAAGAGGAAGTGGCCCTATACAGCTAAACTGGTTATTAATGAGACCAAGGAAGGATGATTCTCTGGGAGGCAGAGCAGCATGCAAATGCAAGGGCACTGATAGTATGATTTGATAGAAATCAGACAGATCCCAACGATTAATGAGTCACTGATTACTACAGAACTCCGTAAACCCACAAGGAGACCAGAAACAACAATATTAACTTCCACAGCAGATATTGAACTGGACAGAATCCTAAAAAAAACTAATAATTCTGAAGAGCTGCACAGCTGTCAGACGATTGCACAACCGATGTGACCAACAGAATCGTTGAGGCACAATGCATTTTTTTTTTTTTTTTAAAGAAAAAAACTCTCCCTTCAGCGTCCGGTCTCCTCCACACATCTTTCCCAAGACCTACAGGGGGGGTCCGTTCTCCAGAGAGCCGAAAGCATGGGGGGCGGGGTACTTCCCTCGCTATTTCATACGCCCCGAGGGGGGGGGGGGTGACTCGGGGCATGTTGGCGGAAGCTGCCTGAACGAGCAGATGGACTCCTGAAGTGCTGTCAGAATCTGCCTAGAGTGCAACATTTTGGAAATAAACACCACTGTAGTACATCTAAGGAACGGAACCCATGGGAGTGCAAACGGTAGCAGCGATTACAGGAACAATTTTTTTCTTTGATTTTTTTTTTTCTTTTCTTAAAAAGTCTTTTGTACAAGCTGGTCGTGTCTTTAAACACGTTAAAACTGATATAAATTTAGTTCACAATACAATCTTTTTTTCCCCAAATCTGATTATTAGAATTCCAAGTACAAAAATGCAATAAATCAGGTCGTTTGCAGTTCATATACAATCATGTAAACGCTAATTCCAAATTTCAATATTATAAATACTTGTATGAAAAACCCCTACAATGAAACATGAAGGTATGGTTGTGAAGGTCACTACTGGCAGCTAAGTCTAAGTGTGTGTGTGTGTGTGTGTGTGTGTGTGTGTGTGTGTGTGTGTGTGTACGCTGGTGCCGATGGCAGCTGTAATGCCACACTAAGACCTCCAAGAGTCGACAGTCAATCACCCCCTTGGTCCCTGCAAAGGGCACTGGAGAGCTACTGCAGCAGAGAGGGCCGTCGGGCTTGGCCGGGACATCATTCGCGCCCTTAGGAGGGAACCTTCCCTTGTCTTGTGCCCTCAGTCGACTCCCTCCACCCCAGTCCACAAGGTGGCGCTACAGCCCAATTGCTTAAATCGACCGACGATTAAAAAAAATAAAATAAAAAAAAAAAACTCTGTAAAGGAGAGGGGCTACAGAGCGGCCAACTTCATTCCCACCGTTTGAAGAGAGAAGAAAACAACGCTGTAAAACAAAAGACTGAAATATTTGAAAGACATTAAATTCAGCTGAATAAATTAAGCTGCAGAGCTCCTAGAAGTCAGAATTAAGGGGTTTTTGTGATTACAATCACCACAAAAAAAACAAGCAGTATGGCTTTAAGAGCCAGTAGACGTATAACATACTACTGCTATACAATGGCAATATGAGGTTTAAAATTAAAAAGGGGGGGGGGGGGGGGGGGGCGGGACTTGTAGCAACAGGAGGGTTGGTTGGTTTCAGCACCATAGAGTGTAAAGCAAGTTTGGCCGGCTCTCTCCTTCGCTAACAAGTCCGCCTCTTAAAACGAACAATGCGTGACACAGGAGGGTATTACTGTGCGCAAAAAAAAGGGGGGGGTTCATGGCAAATAAAGGCAAAACGAAAAGGTGAGGATTTTTAACACAGCCGGAAAACTAGCTTGGATTTGGATAGCTATGGATGGTGCACTCTCTTCCCTGTGTGTGTTATGATGCCTGTGTGGTCCTGAGTTCTTCCACCTGTGAAATCACTGCATTCATCAATAGAGAATTTTAACTGTGGACCGCTGATAGAGAACGTAAATATTAACTTCGATGGGTATCGTCGCAGTAACAGTGGGGAGAGTGTAAAAAGTATCTACGAGTCCAGATCATTACATTGCGCCTGAAAATGGTAAAAGTATTACCAGCATTGACTTTAGCGTCAATTAAAATCTATTAAAAACCATTACAAAAAGAGAAAAATCCCTGTTGGCCATACCTCACTTCTCTGATCATATTATTATACAGATTATGTATTTCTTCAAAAATTTACAGAAAAGCGCTTGGGGAGAATTAGCTCCCTCCAGTGGCTCGGAAGACTACCTGCGGCCTTGCAGGTGGATTCCATTGACTGGTGGCGTATAGGGCAGAACTAGCTCCAGCTGTGCAAATAGGGAGAAGTGATCAGAGGGGATATGAGAATGTGGGCAACCGCTGACATTGTTCTCAAGCCAGTTTGGATCCACTGGCCCCAAGACTCCCAACACATTGAGCAGAGGCTGAGAGTAGAAGATGTAATCAATGACACCCTGAAAGAGAAAAGGAAAGAGCTTTTTAAACCTCTCGTGCTTCACTATCCTGCAGACCAGCATCGACCAGGAAAATCTTTAGCTAGCTTGGGGTCATTTTATCCGCATTTAAAGTTCTCGTTACACAAAGTGCACTAAAGTCAGGATTAGGTCCACGATATTTAGTCATGCTTCAGAACTATTTAATGTCAATGTCTGCAGACATTTCAATTTAGCATTGCACGAGTCAAAAGATAACCAGATGGGTCAAGCAGAAATACTTGTATTTCCAAGCTATGCTCATTTGGCAAGTTCTTAAAAAGAACCCAACGGAACCTAATTGACAGGTCACATAAAACTCTACGACCATCAAGATTGGGAGAGTCTGTAAACTGGCCATAGAAAGATAAGCTCTGATACTGTTTAACGGGAAACGCGTAGCTCCGCACATAGCTCAAAGCAGTCTCGCTCATTTTATTAATGTGCTTTGACTTGAGGGAATCGGCTCAAGCTAGAAGACAACTGATGCTTTAGAGACTCCTCTGACAGAAGCAACCAGAAAATCCCAGCACCCAGAGAAAGAGAAGGGACTGTACCTTGAAGTCGAAGGTGTAGTTGGTGTAAGGCATGAGGCCGTTCTCGTAGGCGCTCTTCAGCTTGAAGCCGTGCGTGATTCTGCCGTTGGGTGTGCCCTTCTTTCCGTTGCAGTTGAAGTTGGTCAGGCTGTCAACGTAGCGAAGCTCTTTGAAGTCCTTGTGCGTGCTGTCCACCCCTCCCGTGCTCAGGTACTCCACCACACCTGTACACGTTACAGACGTGCGTCACACCATTTGTCACTCAGGAAGCCACACCCATGGTCTCTCTAGCACCATCCACTGGTCACGCAAAACCAAGTCTCCTCCAAGCTCCAATCAGATCCTCACACTCTTTGGAAATACCTAGTGCACATTTGGCTAATACATTTGGCAAAGAACTTACCAGAATCGGGCAATGAGTTGAGGTCAGCGCACAACACGAGGGGGATGGCGTTGGTCTCACCGGAGATGGAGTTCAACTTGAGGCTTCTCGTGGTGTTGTCAATGATGTTCTTGATCTCCGACAGGAACATCATGGTCTGGACTAACTTCACGTCGGAGTACTCCGGGTCCCAGTGCATGTGAGCATTAGCCACCAGGAGGAGTTGTTTCTCCATCCCATGCAGTTTTCCAGCTGGAAAGCAAGAGTAGCTTAAGCCGGGGTCACCACAGTACACGACTCCAAGAGTGCGGCATAAGCCTGGAGACCCACCCGTCTGCTCCATCATCTCCTTGCGAATCTCGAGCAGCACCGCAACCCCAATGTTGTCCTTGGTCATAACCCGGTTCAGCATGGCTTCCGAACCCTCCGAATTAGCCATGGCCAGCTGGTTAAACTCCACAGTATGTTTCTGCACCAAGACAAACCTGTAGGCGACACGAGCGAGATTTAACGGGGTGGCACAGCTGATACGGCACGGAACGCCGAAAGAAGCGGGTCTTGGGGGGGCAGGCTCACTTTTCAGTTTTGAAGAATATTGCACACCCATCCACATGCTTACGGTCCGATTCGGACATGGTCCTGGCTCTGGACTTCGGGCTGAAGAAGCCCTCGTATCCGTGCTCTTTCAGCTCTACCAGAAAGTAGTTATAGTACTGTTCCGTTTCAACTTCCTGTAAAGACAACACAGGGCAGATGTAACCAGTCAACCTTACACAAAGCCAGCCAGCTGCTTTTACACCATCTCATATCAATCATTCCCTACATCGATGCAAGCAAATATTAAACGTTTAAGTTTTTCGCGCAGTCTATCCACGCCTTTTACCAGGAGCACGAGCAGCCCGGCGCGAACGTCTGCGCAATGATATGGTTGGCGTGTGGAGTTTGGCAGAAAGAAAATCGCTACACAAAACTGAGTCTGTGAATTATCTTGAGTAACCGGGTCAAGATTTCTGCTAGGAGACCATGCCGTTGAATTTTTCAAATATACGCTTCGGTGGTGTAATCATCACCGAAAAAATGCCGTTCAGTCCCAAAATATTCTAAAGACAACTGACATTTCTACATCCAATTTCTCTAAAACTAGGCAACTCCCAGCAGAACGATCTGGATGGATAAATAGCACTATAGCATATTTGATTTTTTTTTTGATTTTGAGGTGAACTGCGCCTTTAACATCTGTTTACATATCAAATTAATAATACAAATTACAATTCCATGCAGTAAGCCCCTACAGGGAAAACATTGTAAGTTCAAGAGCAAGACGATACGTATGCCATGAGATCACTTAAATATAACTGCTCAGCTCTAAAGCCAATCAGATGCGGTCGCAGCGCCAGCCCCACCTGCAGGCTGATGATGTCAGCGCAGCAGCTCAGGATTTCCTGCATGATGGCCTTCTTCCTGTACTCCCAGTTGAGCGCCCACGACGGGCAGTAGCCGTAAAGCTGACGCGTGGCGTACTTGTCGCAGAGCACGTTGTAGCACATGACAGAAAACAGCGCTGCGGAGCGAAAGGTCGGGAACGGTTAAAGCGGCATGACTCGGAGATCGCGCCAAAAACAGGGGCACGGCGCGGACGGGGCGGCAGGTCTTACCTGCGGGGCGCGTCCTGTCCGGCTCCTGCAGCATGATCCAGGACCTGGGCGGAGGCTGCTCTGTGGAGACTGCAGCCAGAGAAAAGCAGGATCAGCGCACCTGGGCTCTCTGTTACAGCCTATTCAGGTTCGTCGGTTCATCAATTAGTCATCTAGATAATCAAATCGTCCCGTTTTCTAGAGGAGGGGTCACATTTCAGCTCTGGCACTGGGATTGGCTGCGAGAGCTGGGAAGGTGCTCAAAATGCCTAAAAGGGCAAGGCAATGACATCTGCCATTTAACAACAGGGCACAAATAAATCAATTTATACTGAACTGAATAACATTTACATGAATACCCTGAGTCAGCATCCCAGATCACAGAACATCCTGTTTTCAACCTCCTCTTGATTAGGCAGAACACGAACGCAGCACGCAATGCAGGGAAAAACCTGCTCATCCGACGCGGTTTTGACATCACGTCAAATCTGACATCTGCAGAGACGGCCGCCATTTACACATTTTATGAGTTACACCCGTCCCGGTCTGCGACGTTAACTTTAAGCAGCTAAAAATCCCACACGCTCTTCGTTTGTCATTTCAATTTGCCTGGAGCAATGTGATCAAGGAAACGTCACGTGAAATACACACCACCAATATCCTGAGTTTACTAAGCACATCTTAGGCAACAGTAGAGCAGAGAGTGGGAAACAAATCAGCTACGTTTAAAATGACATTTTAGCTCTAAATTGAAGATACAACTACAACAGCAGCACAGCTGCTAGTAACAGACCACAGCACTATGCAACACCTCTCCACCAAGTCCGTTTTCCTATCGCAGTCATACGTTCAGCTGAACAGTCTTTACGCCAATACAAAGGTGGAATTTGATTTGACAAAAACATAGTTCCTGGCAACATCCATTAACATCTATCAGATAAGGACAATAAAATCTGGTTTTTTACAGGCTGCACTTAGGACAAATCTCAAGACTGTTAAAACAGCTCCCACACTGAATTCGTTTGATTAGCTGTAGCACAACAGGCCTCTGGACAAGGGACGGCGAGCCAAACGATTCAGGATCAACACAGAAGTATGTTAAGCTGAGGAGGCGGGGCAGCGGTTAGTAAAGAACACCTCCCAGCATGACTGACACATATCAAACCACAAACTGACCAATCAGCACAATCAAGTTACCGGGCCAATGAGAAAGGAGCACTCACTGCGTTTGGTGGTGCCAGCAAGGTTATCCAGCAGGTAGTTTAGTAACCGACGAGTCCCATCTGGTTCCTGATAGAGGCTCATGATTTCTTGTGCAAGTGGGTTTCCTACAGGGAGCGGCGAGAGAACGGATGAGGAATGTTTAGTCTTCTCAAAGACTTTCACTTAATACACACTATTACGGCCTTAAATGCAATCCAGCACAAGTAATAACTTTACAAAACACAACTTTACAAAATTACACAGAAGTGCATGAGAAAGCATGCGCTAATTTTATCATTAACTAAACTTAATCTGCCTTACAGCCTACACCTCTTGGAATAAAATATTTTGGTGGTTTCCCAGACTGGACAGAGTCCTGACCCTGAAAATGAGAGACTCACCTTTCAAGCCAAGTGTTTGTAACTGAAACAGCTTCCCAAGTTCGAAAGGTAGAACCCGCAACTGGTTGTTATTTAAAAGCAGTTCCCTGAAAAAGGACAAGAAGCGCTGGCTTTAGTGACGAGAGCCCCGGCGATGATTCGCTGGAGATGCGCTCCAAACTCGTTAATACCGAGGGCACGGTGCATCGAAATGGGCAATTAGCAGAGCTGGCATAGGAAGTAGGCGGAGTGGAGAGGACAGAACAGCAATCGAAACCTAGAGAGACTGACAGGGCACACCAATGCCAGTGAAGTTCAATCTAGACATTGTGCCCATGTACTGGAAGCCAAGCACTTGCTGTTCCATCTGCCCTATGACTGCAGACCTCAGGGCTCGCTATCTAAACAGAGCAGCCCTTGTCGAAGCATTCAGGTTTGTCAGAATAAACCTACATATTTATATGAAACAGAAACCATAGCTGGGTGAAGACTGCATTTCCTTGAGTCAAACTGTACCGTGCGGCTCTTCAGATTAATGGACACCAACAATCCCTCTTTTCAGCTCTTTAATTACATGCTTCAGACAGAAAGAATATTCTCTAAACAGCAAACAACAAAGACACAAGGTCTTTTGTTCAAGAGAGCAAGACAAGGCTCCCCCCCCATTTAACACATCATCCCCATTTCTCGAAAACAAGTGACACCTTACGACACCACTGCTCTATCCAGCTCAGGAGGTGGACAACAGCCAGAGGAAAGTTCAGGATAATTATCACAGTTGAAGAGTTTATTTTAGGAAGCCCAAGTCCTTAGAATCGTTTGTTTTTCTTTTTTTTTTGCAGATGTTTCAGGGAGTATGTTAGCTGGGGTAACTTAAGCTAGAAGTCATGACTGTCCGGTAGGGATGCTCCATACCTAAACTCTTATCGGACGATCGTGACTTCTAGCTTAAGTTACAGCAGCCAGCTGAGAAATCCTGCTTCATGGAACGGTTTCGGGGATTACTTGGCCGTGGGAGGGGCAGGAGCCGAGCGCAAGGGCGGGGGCAGCTCACCTGAGAGATACCATGTTGCCGAGTTCAGCTGGCAGGCTCCTGATCTTGTTGGATGAAAGGTCCAAGTATACCAAGTTATGGAGTTTGGCAATGTCAGGTGGGATGCGTGACAGAGAGTTGTCACTGATGTGCAGGGCAGTGAGATGTGTAAGGGACCAGAGCGCAGAGCTCAGGCTGCGCACTCTACCTGCACGTGGCAAAGACAAGTGCAGACATATTACACACGGCAACATACGCACGCACTTGCACATCACTGGATGCATCACTGCTGTGAATCAGGCTTAGTATCTGACTCAAGGCCACTAGACAAGAGTCTCACCTGAGATATGAAGCACAACATTCAGACTACTACACTATAACATTACTCACTAGGCAAGTAACAAGACTTTAGAAGTATGTGTGCATATGCTGCTTAAACACAGGGTCATTCTCAGCTTCAAAGCTAGCCAGAGGAATTAAACAGGTCGATGTTTTTGTTACTTAAACCGAAATATGCATTGCGAGAAGCTGAATACACAGAACATTCTGGATTTTGGCCTTTTTAAATAAGATCTGCGCGCATTCTCCATCCAAGTGAAACAACTGCCTGACCGGACGCAGAAAGACTGAGAATGTGCCCGATTTAAAAATCCTTGCTCAATACTCCAAGAATAGGACCACGAAGAGTGTCAACAGCAGCAGATCTGAACAGCCAGTGGTGACCATAGAGCCATGCCCCGCCGCGTAAAAAAAAAAAAAATCCTCCTTACCGCTGATTTCAAGCTCGGCCCAGTACGACTTCTTTCCATTGGCTGCCTCCTCACTCGACATTATCGTGTACATCCGCCTAGGGTCAGGCGGGTCATATTTTTCCTTAGGCATTCCGGTTAACACTACGAAGACAGACAGTTGCATACACACATCAGAGGCGTACAAGGAAACCGTGCCTCGGAACATCAACACATTTGTTAAAATTTACAGAGAATACATGCCGCCTGTTAACGCCTCACGATTCATGTCACCCTGTCCCAGAAACACTCTAGGAATCCAGTCTACAAATAAGGAACAACACCTTCCTTCAAATCTTTTAAGACACAGAAATACCATTAATAGAACAGTGTCAGTATTACTAAGTACCTGGTGTTAAGTTGGGCTATGCACAAAAAGAACCCTAATATATAACAATACAAAGACAGAAATAAAATTACTACTTCTAGGTAGATCTTAGCTAATCCTTCTCTAATTAGATCTGGAAGGTAAAAGAGTCAATGCAAATGTTTTATGCTCAAATGTTTTATGCAAATCTTATTTTTAATTTATAGTAACTTTGCTAATTTTAATTTAATTTAATGAAAAGTATTTCTATTGCAGATCTAACCCTGAAAGTGTTCAGAACCTTTGTTTAGAATTAAACACATTACAGGTATTTCCATCCATTTTACACAAGAAAGAGAGAGAGGGTGGTAAATTGAAGGTCAACTGCTCAGAGGAGGTTCAGTTCCCCGTTTAATACTACAAGATGAGAAATGTTTTTAATATATATGCTCCTATAAAATCCAAACATCATCAAAAAGGATCTGAATCAAAATTCTGCAAAAAGCCCTCACGTGAAAAACATGTCGATATTCAACAAATTTTCCATGCAGTGATAACATATGATAATGATAAAGGAGTTTGATACGAGTACTTTTTTCAACAAACTGGGGACATCACCTGCTGACATTCAGCATCTCAGAACACAATGCTGGATGCAGGAAATGATCAAAGGCAGTATTTCAACCTTGATATAAAAGAAGCATTTTCCTGAACCCCGACATCAAAATACTTCATACATATTACACAAGTAAAAGTACAATTAGATGTAAATGCAGATTTGACACTCGGCAAAGCCAGCTATACGTCATAAAACCAGACGCACATTGGAAAGCCACAGGTACAATCTTACTACATTTCATGGCGGTTAGCCAATTCACAAACCAGAAATGTGGTGTTTAAATGTCTACTCATGCCACATGGGCCTGGTACGTAAAGTGCAAACAACGGCGGAACGTAGCTGCCCTTTCCAGAAGCAGCAGAAACACGATAGGGGGCGGGACTCAGACCATGCCGGAGAGCCATTGGAGCGCTGGCCCATCGATCAAAAACACATCCCATTTCCTCATATAAGTCTGAACTAGCCAGCAATCAGGCAACAATATAAACGGCGCTTCATAAACAGGCCTTAGCACTGACACATTGCCATTTGCCTTTACCACAGTTAGAAATACACCGTCATGTGTAGTTCACCGTGGTTTTTTTCCAACTGAAACGGCTGAGTTTCACTATGTTATACTCAAAACGGTCACCACACTCCGCGTCATCTAATGTTACCTGAAGGCATGCACACATGGCTCGCCAGCTATGTACTCCCAAATATAATAAACCACGAATGGCAAGCCGACAACTTTAATCCGTATTGAGACTGAAAAGAAGTTTGTATCCAGCCCACTAAAGGTATATTTTCCACATTAGAAGGACATCCATTATTTCCTAAAAATGCACGTCTGAGCTTTTAAACGCTTCAGGTAATAATAATTCTTCCAAACAAAACTAAAATTAGTAATTTCCTGTCATCGGGCTTCCAGAAATCAACTTACTATTGTCCGGCGAACATGTGTTTACATAGGTAGCCACGTAGCTTAGCCGCTAAACGATCGGTTCAAAATAATGAAAACTACTAATGGTCTGGTAGAGATAATTAGAAAGTCGTCAATTACTTATTTCGTTGAAAAACAGTCCCAGCAGCCTAGTTAGTTAAATATAATTTCCAAACTGACGAAGTCAATTTTACATAAACAATGATCCAGCTAGCCCCCCACGGGATAACTGGTTTGTCAATATTGTTAGCTAGCGGACGATTCGAATTCTACCGCTTAATCTCCGTCATATCATGCAAATAAACGTCGAAATTCGGTTTTTTAAACGCTCTTCCCTGAAAAGGTGCGCTCTCCTGCATGCTGCGTGGCCAACTATTTCCCAAAACGATCGCTGGTTAATTTCTGTGGTAATTAACGCAGCTGGCTAGCAAACGTAACCACGTCCAAAAAAAGAAGAGAAAGAATATACCTACGTCGACGCTTAATGAGCGCAGGTGTTAAAGTTTGATTTGTCTGCCCTCGCTTTTGCTTTTGTTGTCGTTTGGTTTTGCTTTGTTTTACCTGAAAACGCATACCAATTCGCGAGGACGAGTGCGTATTTCCTTTGTTTCTGGTTCAATGTGTCTCCGCTGCTTTCTCCACACAGATACGAGCACAAACACGCATCATGGCGGCCCTGCGCCTCTTCGTTTACGAAGACAGCGCCGGCCCTCATTGGTCGGCCCGCAGCGCGAGCGCAAACGCGCATCATGGCGGACCAGGGATTCTTGGCTTGCAAGGGCAACGCCGGCCCTCATTGGTCAGACCGCAGCACGCAGCGCTGCCATTGGACGCCAGCTCTTGCACAAACGCCTCCGCACTGGGTTTCGCTCGCACGCCATTGAGTCGCCCTGAGCTGCGCTCCATCCGAACTGAATTGTTTAATCCGGCGGCGAAAGGATCGGACAAAAAAGATAATAAAACGAATACAAACGCCCGTATTCCGTTAATGAACGAAAACACATTTTACACGCGAAAGACCTACTTGTATTAAGTATGGATTGTTTAAAAAACTAAGATGAATAGTTATGCAGCATAAACCCATATTAAGGGCCACAGGGGGCCTGGAGCCTATCCCAGGTAGCACAGGACACAAGATTAGGGTACACCCTGGAAGGGATGCCAGTCCATCACAGGGTCGATACACAAGCATAATCAAAAGCAATTTAGTGACACCAATTAATTAAGTGCATATCTTTTGAATGATGAAGGAATTCAACGACCAGGTTTCTGTAAAGTCAGATTTCATTGCACATACAAAGTTACACTCTATTTGTTTAGTTATCATACGAGGGAACTCAGTGGCTTCGTGGGTAACCCCGTCCTCACACCCCAAGGGCGGTCAGTGTGAATCCCGCTTGAATGTTCTCTGGTCTTTCTAGTTTCCTCCCGTAATCCACTGTAAGGTCAATTAGTGTCTCTAAATTACTCATAGTGAGTGAGAGTCCGGCGCGTGAAGAGCTGACGTCCTGTGCACCCAGGGAGCCGGTTGACTGCAACCCTGTACTGTTTATTACTTTTCTCGTCCATCTTGCATAAGTATATAAGGAGGATGGACAGTTCAGTCTTAAAGGAGCTGGTATCATCTCTTATGCAATCAATGCAGGCGTAATACATTGTCCAGCAAGTCCACTTCCACCCAAAGGGATTATGGTTGAATAATAATGTTTCCGTAGCAGAAATTGGTTCAGCTGCCTCCATAGATTATGTAGCAATGAATCTGGCTACTAATTAATGTTGGTCTCTCTGGTATAGTAGTATTTGGGTTGTGACTTTTGTGACAAAGTATGAATTATAGTAGAACTTAGTTGAATCCTTTAGTAGAATCCTGCACCCCCCAATAATGGATTTTGATGGTATGATTGGTATTAGGATTGTCCATATAAGCCTAGTTCTCAAGGTTCTAGAAACAATACTAATATATGACTTAACATATTCTTTAAAACTATTACGTTTTACTGTAAATGAGCAGTGTTTTCTCCCCAACTAAATCTGTCCATAAAATATACTTAAGTTGATAATGACATATTATGTTACTCCCAGCTGTAGACTTGTATGTGATTTAATAAGTAATGATACAAAGAGTAAGAGCATTTCTCCTCGCCTGTGGGCAGCAAGTCTGTCGGAGCACATTATATAATATAAAACTCAGCAGGCACGTATACCATCGTGCTAGTGCATTTGATACTGTGATATGGAAAGGCATGAGTTTCATCTGAATTGGTTGGCAGGTGGCTAGAACTTAACACCGATAGTAAAATGTAGTTGTTTTTTTTATAATAATATAGGCAAATTAAAATTCTGCTTACAATTTTAGGGACATTTACTTAGGCCTAAATACGGCATACTTATTTGGATGTTCTTCAGAAATTAAATGTGCATGAAATGTGTGCTATCTTTAGATTTTAAAAGGCAAAAAGTACAATGAAAAATATGATGAATATTACCGGATATACGTAAGAAATTGCATAATATTGTTTTCATCCAGATTGCTCTGTGGTTGCACTCTCACTTCCTACTGAGTAAATCTGTTAGTCCGTGAAACACAGTTAAGATGCTCTTGATAATTTATTCCAAGTTTATGCCAACGTCAGCAACTGAGTCCAAGTTATTGAGCGCCAGTGGATGTGTACCTAACTTGCAGACGTGTCATCGACTTGCGTAAAGTTAAGTGAAAGGAGGAGTATTAACTTTACCGAAAGCAACAACTATTATCCATGCTTGCAGTCACACGAAAGCCTCCGATAACTTTAAGTAGGACCTATATGCAACTTTATGTCAGTTACATTAACGGGAGAAAATATAAATTGCACTTTAAAGAGTAGCAGGCAGGAAAAAAACCTTACGAAATCTGATCATTAACTACGTAAACCGCGTCAACATAAACTATCAAGGAAGTGCTCGGAAAAAGGAAGCCAATAGATTTGACAAAGATTCTGGTTTTTGGAAACGTTACGAAAAATAAACTACACTTAACTGAGAAATAAATATTATTCTCTTCAGAAAACCTAACAATGAACATTAATAATTAATGTGTCAAGTCCCGATCGTAGTAGGCATATGGTATGGTTTGTGCGCGAGTAAGCTATGCTCATACAGCCCGCAGTTTTAGATATCCTTCACATAGACATCAATCGCCAATTTTAATCTAGAAAAGGTACTAAGTTTTAAAGAGACTCCCGCCGAAACACAAGGTACAAGACGTTCTACGTACCGCAGCTGTCTGCGCAATACATAGTTAAATTAGGTGGGTAAATCCGTGTTTATTAAAAAATACTAGTAATAATAAACATTACCCTCGGAATATTTCTGGAAAACGATTCAAGTGGTTTAAGACGGGATGTAGCCGTGATGAGATGCCATCCATAAGGTCTAAAGCGTGAGATGCGGTGATAAACGGCAGCGCCTCTAAGTAATGATCTTTATGATTGGGCCCGACATACGTCCAGGGGTTATAGGAAGATTATGCACAGCCTGGGAGCTCTATAAATATTCTTTACTTAATAAATAAATAGATTGAATCAGTTTCTGTCTTTCTATGATTATATTTTGCAGAAAAGCATCTGGAAGACGGATAGTTAGATGGGTAGGATGGGAAAAAAAAACTACTGAATCCAGATGTGAATTGATGTAGCAATAAATGTTTAATCACTCATACTGATGTGTATAAAAATGCAGGACGGGCGCAGATGGACAGGATGGCTAGTACTTAATAACTCTGCGATGTGTTCAGAATGGAGCAGAGACATTGTTTTCCTGCACTGTTAATAGTCAATGGAATTTCTTGTGGAAAAATAGTTTAATCCTTCCAGTAGAGTAGTGCTTTTTAGTCCGGTCCTCAGGGTACCGTCAGCCAGTCCACGTTTTTGCTCTCTCCCAGCTCCATTTTTGCTACCTGGAGCTGAGAGGGAGCAAAAACATGGACAGTCTGTGGGTCCCTGAGGACCAGATTGGGAACCACTGCAGTAGAGTTCTAGAATGTTGCTCTCTATTTATATACAGTAGCTACAATAAAATGTACATGTTTGTCACAATTAAATTTCTCTTGCTTCTTTCTCAGCTTCAGATACATCCATTTCATAATGAACGTTACTTTCTTGTGATGTTTTAAAATTATACAAATCAGGATCGTAATCAGCTGGGCTCTGCTGTGTCAGTTTTATCTTGGGTGTAAGTATACGATAAAATATTTTGCAAATGTTTACCTACCAGATGATTATATAAATAGCAGCATTCTGTTTCAAATCTTTAATTCGCCATCAAATATGACATTTTAAGACACAGTTACACATCACATGCGACTCTTTTGAAGTGTGAAATATATAAAGTGCTTTGTTAATGCCTGGGCTTTGGCAGGGTAAACATTTGCACAAGTACCAGTAGCGAAGGCTGCTGATGAGGTTCCTCGCTGGATGCATAATCTGCCATCACACCTAATAATGCAATCGCAAGATGACCTTTTTGCATCCTCAGCAATGCTATTGAAGTCACTCATCTTTTACGACTGGGAAGATCTTAAGCAGTCCACATCTAAACAGGGACGCATGGAGAGCTTATTTAAAACCATCTAAAATGCACGCAGACTTCTTGATATGGTCGCCAGGGTCTCTCTCTCTCTTGGACGGAATGCCATCTTTCGCTGCTTATCTGATGCTATTCCCAGCGTTCTCGCGACACTGACGTCATATGTGTGAAACTGTACTTGGCGTCCCTATGGATACGTCTGGCCAAGGTGCGTTTCGCTGCGTGCGGCCTTTATAAGATCAGCTCGGTGACAAGACCCAGCATGGGGGGGGTAGTGTGGGGGCTGAATAGGGCTATTGTTGCAGGAGTTCAGGTCCTTGCCTTTTCCTAGGGAGACAGCGGTTCGACTCTCCAGGATGCCTCTCATACAAACAAGGAAAGCTTTGATTAAAAAAGAAAAACCATTTCAGACTGTCTGCCAGAAAAGCTCACCTGTCAATGTTTAAACTGTTCGAACTTGACCTTATGTTAGGTGTTGGGAAAACATCGCCTGCAGTGAAAATCATTTGATGATATGAATTTAGCTGCTGTATGTGTGTTAAATTATAGATATCATTATTCTATTCATCTTGCCATAAAAAGCTCAGCTTCCTGGGATGAACTCCAGACCCACTGTGACACACTACTGGGTAGGCAGTTACGGAAGATGGATGGATTTCACATTAAAATCCTAGTAAAGATGGCGCGCTGGTGCAGAATCTTGCATAATTTTGCCTCTAACTGTGTAGCAAAACAGTGCGTGAGGGAGGGGAAACTGGTTACACGCTGGCACTTGAGAACGTCAGGCAGGGAAACATAAATTCGCCTCTCCAGTGAATTTGAGGGGGAAAAACGTTGTTTTTCTGCA